TTATATTTATATTTTGGTAGCATCATTTGTACTTCTTTTTATTTATATTATTATTATAAATAGAATCACATGTATCACAGTGATGAGAATCATCAAGAATAGCTCCAAAATAAAACAAAATAAAATGTATCACAACAGCAAGTAATAATAATTCATATTAGCAAATTATTTTTGCTATGTGGTGTACTGTATATATCTTTAATTATGTGATAGATAGTTATGTGAGTGTACTAAATGCTGGTCAAGTTGGATATACATGTATCATGTAAGTACCCTTGAAAAGCTTTTTAATCAAGTTAATCCAAATTTAGTCTTAAATATTTAGTTTCTTTTTTTTATTTAATAAATCAAGTATAATAAGTATCGCTTTTTATTTCTCCTCTTTCCTACTACTTGTTTCACTTCTTTTTCAGTTTTTATAACCATTTCTTACTATGTGTGAGTAGGTTGTTGTTTTTTAGCCTTTTTTTTTTCTTCTTTTTTTCATGTTTTAAATTATTTCAAATATCAGTATTCAACGTTTTATGTTTAATATATCAAAACATTATTTATGCATTTGTAATTGCAGGTTAAATGCATTCATGTCTTGCATTAAACAAAATACATACGTTATCGATAAAATCCCAGAAAATATCGAGATATAATTTTTGGTCAATATCGCACACCCCTAATGTGTGTATGGTTGTACATACTCATATGTAGTTGTTTTTTTTGGTGTTTGGCTTAGTGTTATGTTAGAATCATTATTATACTCTTATACCTTGTGTTCTTTAATATTTTGAATTGTTTTTAGCTTTATTTTTTGTTTTCATTTAAATGTTAAGTTTTGAAATTTTGTTGTATGCATTTGATTTAATTTCTTTATTTTCAAAATGTGTATAAGTAGTATTTATAAAGTTTTAGCTTTTAGTTTTGGATCTGTTTTTAGTTGTTTTACTACTACAATTGATTGCTTCTGTTGTCCTCATTTGTAAGTCGCTTTGGATAAAAGTCTCTGCTAAATGACTAAATAAATAAAGAAATAAAAAGTATGGTTTCACCATTAGAGTAGCCAAAGCATTAAATCATAACCATGAAAAAAAAAACTAGCAAACAAGTACATGTAGTATAGTTTTGTTTTGCAGTTTTAAGGAGGGAAGAGGAAAACTGTTTTGTTCAATTTATAACAATTTTGCATAATTAGACTATTTGGTGATGTATATCACTGCCATGGTTTAAGATTTTGGTCATAGTTCGTTTTGAGAAAAGCTCTTGTTTGCACATGATGATGGCAATATCATTCATACATTTTTAAGTATTTAAGTCTTAAGTGCCCAAATATTTTTGCTTCGAAATATAATTTGGGTGTGTTTGACACCTGTATACTTTGAAACAGAAATATTTTAGGTACAATATGTTCTTGAAATGGCTACCAACACCACAGTGCAACAAGTCTGTAAATACTTCTAACCATATTTGCTGTAACAAAAAAAATATCATTATACATTTGATATTTAACATTCTTATGCCAGATCAAAAAAAAAAATGGCACGATGATAATAACATTGACTTATAGACTTGTATGAAAACTGAAGCTTGTTCAGTGATGGGACTTTTTTTATGGATTATCTGCTTCAACATTCTGCTTACAATTCCTGGATCACGTCTGAATTGGATGAAGGAATGTTATCTTTGCTCTCTTTGGGAGATAACACTGCTTCACCACATATGGCTGGAGTGCTGTGGATTTTCTTCTGGATTTTCTGTTGCTTTTCTTAGTATCAATTCAAGAGGTTTCTACACCAATTGCTTGCCGTTTTTACATGAGCATTCACAGTGGCTTTTGTGTGATTAAAGAGGTATTTGTTGGATGTGTACAGGTCATGAGTGCCTTGAGGAGAACAGCTGTTGAGAAGAACCTCACCTGGACCACACACTCCTACCAACTCCCAGCATCCCAGTATGAGTGAGTACATGCAATACATCATCAGCATAACACTCTCTAAACAGAGACTCACCTTGTGGTAAATAGTGAAGTACTCAGCATATATATACAGTGGGGAAAAAAAATATTTAGTCAGCCACCAATTGTGCAAGTTCTCCCACTTAAAAAGATGAGAGAGGCCTGTAATTTTCATCATAGATATACCTCAACTATGAGAGACAAAATGAGAAAAAAAAATCCAGAAAATCACATTGTAGGATTTTTAAAGAATTTATTTGCAAATTATGGTGGAAAATAAGTATTTGGTCAATAACAAAATTTCATCTCAATACTTTGTTATATACCCTTTGTTGGCAATGACAGAGGTCAAACGTTTTCTGTAAGTCTTCACAAGGTTTTCACACACTGTTGCTGGTATTTTGGCCCATTCCTCCATGCAGATCTCCTCTAGAGCAGTAATGTTTTGGGGCTGTCGCTGGGCAACACGGATTTTCAACTCCCTCCAAAGATTTTCTATGGGGTTGAGATCTGGAGACTGGCTAGGCCACTCCAGGACCTTGAAATGCTTCTTACGAAGCCACTCCGTCGTTGCCCGGGCGGTGTGTTTGGGATCATTGTCATGCTGAAAGACCCAGCCACATTTCATCTTCAATGCCCCTGCTGATGGAAGGAGGTTTTCACACAAAATCTCACGATACATGGCACTGTATATATGTTTATATATATATATTAGGGGTGCACCGATACCACTTTTTCCAGTACTCGCCCGATACCTATACTTTTAATTTGTACTTGCCTATACAGAGTACCGATACCGATATTTTTATTGCATTTGTAAATGTTTTAAATATTGGGTACAGAAACAAAACGAGTATGTATAATGTTAGTTGGTTAACTTCATTTATCAAGTAGATACAGTCAAACCAAAATTTATTCAATATTTACACAACTATTAATACTTAGTCGGGCAGCCCTTAGCCTTAATGACCGCCTGTAGTCTCCTGGGCATGCTGTCATCCAGGTTCATGAAAACCTCAACTTCAGTTTTTTCATTTTTGGGTATAATTTGTCACCAGTTTACTTTATTTTGCTATCCTCACTTACATAAATGAACTATAGTGTCCTGCACCCACTAGTAAAAAAAATATCAAAAATGATATCTGGTCTCTGTATAATTTTTGGTTTGACTGTATATCCTTCGGTTATTTTCACACTTAATTATGCCCAGTAAAATGTATTTGACAAGTTTTAGTTACTTAACATCATCTTTAATTTAATAGCATTAGAGCTGCTCCATTGCAGCGGCTTAGTACTGTAATCACACGCTTTGCTGTAATAATGCTGGGAATCAATTGTTATAAATCTCCTAACTGTGATATTTTCAGAAATATAAGTTGCGTTGTTTTTTTCATCTGAAACGTGCTGCGATTTATATTCCAAAGCCACTCATATAATGCAGAAACACTCAAGCAAGCAAAAACACGTGCAACGCGTGCAGGTATTTGTACTGGTGCAGAATGAGAGGACCGTAGTACAGTCTAGCGCATTTCACACAGGCCGCTAGATTCACTTTTGCCAGAAAGTCGTGTATGCCTTTCTGTAAGGTTGAAAATAAATGATGTTTATACTGAATGCCCCTATAAATGGTCTTATTTTTACGGTTTCGTTTTAGTCCAAATGATGCATGTGCTAAGTGAGTGAACATCAAAGATCACACAACAGAAGTGAGCACGCTCTCTCTCTCTCTCTCTCTCTCTCTCTCCCTCTCTCTCTCTCTCTCTCTCTCTCCCCCCCCCCCTCCTTTCATTCCATCTCTCTCTCGCCCTATTCCTACTCCCAGGTCGCGCAAACTTTGCAGTGATGTCTGGGAGAAAGGGATATTAACTAGGAGTAGGGGAAAAAAACGATACAGCATAGTAACGCGTTTTTTTCCCGCGGCATTACTGTATCGATACACGGACGCCAAGTATCGATCTTTTATTATACTATTTGGTAGAATAAAAAAATCAATTTCTTTACAATCCACTAAGATGGTGGAGTTGAGCTTTTTTCAGGTGAGGTCAGCTGGGTCACCTTCAGCATGCAGTACGTTAGTAAAATAAAGAGGGCGGCATTGTGGAAATTTATCAGGAAAGCCCCGTCCGCGTTTAAATCGGATGTATATGGACTTACTTCGGATTTGTAAACAAGGAGGGGATGTAAGTAGGGATGCACCGAAAATATAGGCTACATATAATAATAATAATAC